CCCATAGCTTCTCTGAGTTACTCAGTCCCCTTCGCCACAACAAGGCAGCCATCCGTGAAGGGGGCTTTTTCACTTACAGATCTTTTAAAAGGGGAACAAAAAAACAATAGTTGCATGGGGCAAGGAGACTCAGAGCCCCCATTTCATGACACTGAGACGCAGAAGCTTTTTAGTTCACCTTTTCCCTCACATATTCCTCACTTTTGTAGATTTTGACTGTTCTGGGCCTTTGGCCCAAGTGAGACTTGATCTTGAGGGAAGCGTCAGTTGTTACAGTGGGTTAGATTACTCCTTCCAAAAGATTATAGTAAAGGTAAAGGTAAAGGTTCCTCTTGACAATTTTTGTCCAGTTGTGTCCGACTCTAGGGGGCGGCGCTCATCCCGCTCTTCAAGCCATAGAGCCAGCGTTTGTCCGAAGACAATCTTTCCGTGGTCACATGGCCAGTGTGATTTAGACACGGAACGCTGTTTACCTTCCCACCGAGGTGGTCCCTATTTATCTACTCGCATTTGCATGCTTTCGAACCGCTAGGTTGGCGGGAGCTGGGACAAGCGACGGGTGCTCATTCCGTTGCATGGATTCGATCTTACGACTGCCGGATCTTCTGACCCTGCAGCACAGGCTTCTGCGGTTTAGCCCACAGCGCCACCCTTATTGTTTTCCTTACAAGCACACCCACAGCCCCATGATTTCACTCCTTTGTTATACATTTTTCCTTCTCATTTTTTTCCATCTGGATTCTTCAGGATCAATTCCCTTCCATAACCCTCATAGTCTACAGGAACATAGTCTCCTTGAAACAGGCTATAAGTCTTCCTTTCTCACTCTTTAAGCCAGAGATGTCCAACCTTTCACCTGCCAAACAGCTGGAATGCCTAGAGGCTCACTATGGCTGATTTTGCATAATCATAATTTCATCAGAAACTTGAACAATGTTCTGCTTTGAACTGTTTGTTTCACCATTGCATTGTAATGTGTTAGAAATTCATTAATTTTCCTTTGCCTTGTATTGTATTTTCGTTTTCTGAATCGTATTCCCTATTTACCTCCTTTGACTTAAATAAATCTTCAAATTCATTGCAACTGTAGACGGCCTCATGTGATCTCTGCTTACACCCTTTGCCCACTGGTGCAAAGTATGGAACTCATAGAACTCCTACATAGCTCTGTGGTTTAAACATTTGGTGAGACTTCCCCCAGCCTCCCCGCTTGTGCAATGTGTTCTCAGATGTGCCACACAATTTTGGTTGGGATGTTCATCTATTCTTCTGCCTGAGATCAGGAAGTAGAAGAACCCCTTCCCCTAAAAACAAAACAAACAAACAAACAGAAATATGGGGAGGGGAGGGGAAGGGTGAAGGCACAGGATTTTCAAGTGGGTGGATCAGGACAGAAGTACATGCGCTCAACCTATTCAGACATGTGTTGAGACATGCACAGAGGACCCCCTATATTGGCAATCCTGTACCAGTTGGGAAACAAATTTGTGTAGATTTTGGGAACCAGACTAACCCAAATATGGGAGGTGAAGGACAAACAGGGGAGACATATATGTAGGAAGTGTCATGATTCACTATTTTGGAGGAGAGCGACCTTGATAGATGATCAATTTTGTTTTAAAAGAGAAGGTACTAAAAGATTTCTTCAAGGCCTACCCTCCTATTGCTTCTCTACCTTGTTTTTTTTTTTTAATCTGTTCGTATGTCTGTAGAACTCAACTGCAAGGGAGGCTAATAGGACCACCTCCCCATATTTCAAGGTTTTGAGAGAAAGGAGGGGTATGAATTGAGAAGGGAGAGAGAGAGAGTAAATGATAGGCAGACAGTGAACTTCACAGAAAATCCAGCCATGTCTATCTTTTGCAACAGGGCTTTGCCTACCAAATCAACAGAATGGCTTCATTTCAGGCAATTACTGTTAATTGCTGGTTGCTTATCACGAGAGTCTGCAAGCGATTTACAACTTTTGATCCTGCTAGAAAGTAGACAAGTCCCCCTCACCCTATAGAAACTACAAAAAAATATCAAACAAGTTTTATTCCCAAAGGTCCACCATATTAGAGTCTAAAGATGAAAGACGTAGTTGCTTCTCTTAGTGATTATGACAATGACTATAATGTGATCACCAGAGTAAAGCACTAGAGGATTTCCAGGGCATTTTTGAAGAGAATGAATGAGCACGTCAGAAAAAGATTATAAAAATCCTTCTGCGAAATTGTTGCTGTGAGCATTGGGGGTGGAAGAGATTGTGAGGGCTCTGTTGATTCCATTTCTGTCAGTTATTCATCAAAGTTCATCTCGGATACTGTTCAAGGTTTGCAATTCCCTCAGTTTTCACTCTTCTGTATGCAAAGAAGAAAAGACTATGAGTTGTTCTGTGACAGATCCCCTCCCAGTTACTCACGAGTGGTACCAGCCTGGTGTCATCCTCATTGGGGGGATTCTTACTCAGAGCATTTATGCTTTCCAAGGAATTTCTTTCACAAAACAGCCTTCCCAGAACTTTTTAGAGATTGGAAAGTAAGTATTTTTTTTTCCTCTCCACATCCTTTGCTTTTTTAAGCAGGGCAAAAGCAGAAAATGTTAGCTATCATGTGATGCCCGTAATGGTCAAAGAATTCTGAAATCCCAATTGTTTTAATAAGTTCATTAGGGAAGCCAAAAGGGTACCAATCGGTGCTCATTGAATGATGTCACTGATTAGATTCATCAGCATAAAGAAAACCAAAAATTTTAATCTACAAAAATCAAGGAATGGAAAAATAAAGTGACAATCTGTATCCAGATTGACAGGTGGTTTAAGAAGAAATGGCAACAAAATGCTTCTCATTATTCATATTGCTTGTGTTAAATCACAAATTAGGATTGATTGTCCTATGTGCAGAAGAATGTAATAAAATTCAGTAATAAGATTTCTCACTTAGCACTTTTCTTACCTGTCCAGAATAGCAAGCCATCCTTGAGGCCATGTATTTAGAAACAGACAGACAGACAAACAAACAAACAAACAATTTTACAGTTCTTCTTGGTGAGAAAAATGCTTGATTTCATTGTACTTTGTGAAAAGGAAAATTTCTTACACTATGAAAAGAGATCATGTGCCTCTTTTTCTTGAGTATACAGACAGCCTAATTTTCTGAGCACCCCCCTAAGCGCTGCTACTTCATTATCAGTCTGTTAATGGGAAAGTCTTCTAATACTGCATTGAACCACACAGGAATATACAGACAGTGTTAATTTTGTAGAAAGTGTTAATATTGCAGAACAGATACTCAAAAACCTAAACATTTCTTGAAAAGGAGTTGACACTCCAATGTAGGAAATGCTTTTACTACTGTGTTTTCCCGAAAATAAGACAGGGTCTTGCATTAATTTTTGCTCCAAAAATGCATCAAGGCTTATATTCAGGAGATTTTTTTTCATGTGCCACAATCTACATTTATTCAAATATATTCATGGCATCTTCTTCTGGTTGCTGCACAATGGTGGAAGGGCGGGGTTTTATTTACCTGGGACTTATTTTTGGGGTAGGGCTTTTATTATGAGCATCCTGAAAAATCATACTAGCACTTATTTTCAGATTAAGTCTTATTTTCGGGGAACAAGGATATAGAGCTAGCACTTATTTTCAGATTCATTAGGGCTTATATTCAGGGGATTTTTTTTTCATGTACCACAATCTATATTTATTCAAATATAGTTGTGTCATCTTCTGGTTGCTGCACAAAGGTGGAGGGTGGGGTTTTACTTACTTGGGACTTATTTTTTGGGCAGAGCTTATATTATGAGCATCTTGAAAAATTATACTAGCCCTTATTTTCAAGTTAGGTCTTATTTTCGGAGAACAAGGTAAGGATATAGAGAAAGCTATTATACAGATATATTCGCAGTTTAGCACCCAGTGATCGTTGTATACAAAGCCTTTTTGGGGTCTGGGTTCAGATTTTAGGATCCTTCCTTCCTTCCTTTTTCTTCTGAGAACACTTGCAAATTCTGCCCAGCTCTATAAGATTTGCCCAGGGAATTTGGTCCAGGGAATATTGCCATTTTGCACAAAATCAAAATCATTCTGCAAAGGTTGATGGTTTCTTCTATGAAAAAGTGCATTCCACCGAGAACTCTACAAGAAGAATTAGATTGCTGTGCTTCCCATTTAATCTCGAAGCTAATGTCCATACAGAGGATAACGAAAGAAAGAATTAGGTTCAAGTACAGCAGAAAGTTTTAAGGCTGATCAGAACTACTGAACCTCTGACTGTACAACAACATAGGCAGGTTTCATCATCACTGTACTCAATAACCTGAGATCAGACTAGATATGCAAGGGTTAATCTTACTGATGGGGGAAGAAACGTTGAGTTTGAAGAAGATTGCAAATTGGTAAAATGTGGAAATGTTGTTGCAGTAGTAAAGTTATCTGTCTTTGCTTCCCATTTGCCAGATTCAATTAATCTCGAAGCTATGTCCACACAGAAGATATCGAAAGAAAGAATTAGGTCCAAGTACAGCAGAAAGTTTTCAAGCGGATCAGAACTACTGAACTTCTGATTGAACAACAACGCATGCAGGTTTCATAACCACTGTCACTCAATAACCTGAGATCAAACTAGATACACAAGGGTTAGTCTTATTGATGGAGGAAGAAACGTTGAGTTTGAAAAAGATTGCAAATTGATGAAATGTGGAAATGTTGTTGCAATAGTAAAGTTATCTGTCTCAACAGTGTGGTGCCAAAATTCCATGTTCAGTTAACCTTGAAGCTATGGGCACACAGACAATATCAAGAGAAAGAACCAAGTACAGCCAAAAGCCATAAAGAAGATTAGAACTATTGAACTTCTTACTGTATAACAGCATATGCAGGTTTTAGAACCACTGTACCCAATAGCCTGAGATCAAACTAGATGTGTTAGGAGGAAGAATTGTCCAGTTTGAAGAATATTGCCAGTTCATAAACTGTATAAATGTTGTTGCAATATTAAAGTATCTGTCTTGACAGCATGGTGCCAAAATTCTACCAGCATGCCTTGGCCATGGCCTTTGCCATCAATGAGATCAACAAGAATCCCAGGGTCTTGCCCAACCTCACTCTTGGATTCCACATCCTTGACAGCTACTCTGAGGAAAGGATGACCTATCGGACCACCCTAGACCTGCTCTTCAAGACACAAAGATTTCTTCCCAATTATGAGTGTGATGGACGGAAAAGTCTCCAAGCGGTCATTGGGGGACTTGGTTCTGACATCTCCTTTCTCATGGCTGACATTTTAGGCTTCTACAAAATTCCTCAGGTAGGATAAGATGCAGGTATAGTTAGGACAGCATACTTTAGTGTATCCTTTTTAAAAAATTATTTTGACTGCTTTCAGGAGGGTTAGAAAACAGAGGTGCAGAAATAAAATGGATATTCCAGAAAAGTAGGAAATATTAGAATAATTATTGTCTTTTCAAACTTCTGAAATTCCATCACGACACGACAATGTCTTTTTTCTGTCTTATAGTGCACATACGGCTCTTTGGCTCCAGAGGAGATTCATACATCTCAGCATCCTTCCGTTTATCGTATGGTCCCCATTGAAGACCATCAATACATGGGGATAATCCGGTTGCTTCAGCATTTTAGATGGATATGGGTTGGGATGTTTGTGGCAGATAATGAGAGTGGGGAGCATTTTGTGCAGATGATAGAGACACTTTTTCCTGAAAATGGCATCTGTTCAGCCTTCGTACAAAGAATTTCACTGCAACCTAATTTGGATGATTTGGATGAGACCATTATTGATGTCCTTCAGAAAATATATGAACCTTTAACTAATCAAAAAGCCAGTGCCTGTATCATCTATGGAGACTCTGTGATAATTACATGGCTGAGAACACTTATATTTCTTCAAGATCAGGAAAACATTAGGTATTGGATATACAGAAAAGTCTGGATTACAACAGCTCAGATTGATTTTATATTAACAGGACCACAAAAGTATTGGGATCTTCAGATGTTTGAAGGTGCTATTGCCTTTATGATTCACAGAAGCGATATTTTTGAATTTGGAGAGTTTGTTCAGGATGTCAAACCTGGCTGGAACAAAAGAGACGGTTTCCTGAAAGATTTCTGGGAGGAATCTTTTGACTGTTTCCTTGGAGAAACCATTCCAGACAATGAGAGATGTACTGGAGAGGAGAAACTGGCAAGCCTTCCTGAGCCTCTTTTTGATATGCGCTTGACTGGACACAGTTACAGTATCTACAATGCCATCCATGCCCTGGCACATACTTTGCATGCCATCTACTCGTCCAGATTGAGACACAAAACCATGGTTGAGGATCCAGATATTGTGCTTCAACACATTCAGCCTTGGCAGGTGAGATCTACGTAGACATCTTTCTAAATATTTTCATTAATACATGAGCTCAAGTTGGGACTCTCTAAATCTTCCAGCTTCATTAATATTTTATGTATTGTGTGAGCTCATACCAATTCCAAATTATGAGAGGCCTTTCCATGACATTCAAATATAAATAGCACAAAAGCGGTTTCTCTTTATTCATGGAAAACCTATAATTTGGAATTAGAAAATATGTTCCATTTCTTCTTTTGTGCAGGAATGTGTATTTTTGCATGATCCATTTTATATGACCCATTCCTCCTTTAGAAAAGGAGCATGGAATACAATTCATATTCAGAAAGTTCAAAATGAAAGAGCTTTTGTTTTTTGTTTTGTTACATTTCTCAGCGTCAATAGATGAAATATGAAGAGTAAGAAGGACATAAATCTGTGTCAATATCCTATTCCATATTTATGTACATATTCCAAAAGAAAAAGCTGTTGTGCTGGTCCAATGAGGTCTCAGTCATGTCTCAGGAAAGTTAATGTTCATGTAAATATGCAATTGAATGTTGAACCCTATGTGGCTAGAAAATATTTTGCTTTCTCTCCTAGTTTCAGTCTCTGCTTGTCTTTCTATCCCATTTGTTTTCTCTTCTTCTTCCTACAACTAGCTTCACCCATTCCTGCAAAAGTTGTCGTTTAACAACTCAGAGGGAGAAACAGTGTCCTTTAATGAGAAAAGGGAAATAGGAGGTGGATTTGACATCATGAACGTGGTCATATTCCCCAATAACTCTTTCCATCAAGTGAAAATTGGAAGGGTGATTCCCGGTGCTCTTGAAGGAGAAGAAATTGTGGTCGATTGGGATAGAATTGTATGGCACCGAGGCTTTAACAAGGTATGGGTTATGGGGGGGGTCCTTCCCTAAGGAGGTCATGATGGTGAATGAAGTTTCCTTTGCTTTCAGATCTCATCAACATGGTGTATTTGCCTGTAAAATAAAGACAACGGGCTCTGGACCATGGGCTAAGCTTCCTGGAAGAAGGACTGCTAGCAAGAGATGGCTTGTCTTAAACAAGGACAGGGAAGAATGTGTTTGCCACAGCATGAAGAAATTTATCAGGAAGGCCTTATTCTGAATTGGAAGGGGAGGGAGTCATAAGCACAAAGTTCTAGATAGACGAAGCCTTATTCACAATAAGAGGAACAGACCAAACTGTTCTATGATTCTATAAATGTTACTGACCACTTTCAAAAACGAGATGCAATGTTAACTTTCCAAATATATCTATACTTAATTTGAAAGCAAGTATATTATTACAGTTTTATCTGTGGAAGTGAATATTGATTATGCATTTCTTAAAGTATTGGTGAGTTATGAAGGGATCCAGAGGAGATAGATTCAAAAGACCAGAGTAGGCCAACCTGATTTCTGTAGGTTATTTGATTCTGAGGAATAATACATAATCTGTTTGTGATGACCCTTCTGAACTCTGTCCTTTTTATGAACAGGTGGTTCCCATTTCGGTTTGCAACGAGTACTGCCATCCTGGCTTTCAGAAGAAAAGTAAGGAAGGAGAAAAGTTTTGTTGTTATGAATGTGCTCTGTGCCCTTCAGGAAGGATTGCAAACCTGACAGGTGGGCGTTTCAAATTTTTTTGGTTATATCAAGATAATTGAGTTTCTTGGGTCAAATGAAAAAAAAATTAAGAAACTAAGAGTTGCCATGGCCGATATGTTATTATGAAACTCCTCAGTGGCTAATGATTAAAGATAAAATCATGTTCTGCAAGATTACACTGCAAAATTTGGATGATATCATCCTCATGGGGTTGGGTGACTGTTCAATGTACACGTAGAAAGAGCAGTGGTTGTAATACCACCACAACACCTTCAGCAGCACTTCA